TTGGGGAATCCTTATCTAAGTCTCCTTGGGGTTGGGTCATCCCACCATAGTAACCATGTCATAAGCACCGCATCCATTACAAAGTACCAGATTGGAGTCTTGGGAACCCATTGCCTAATGACAATCCATAGAGACATCATTACGTCGGGGCAAAGCCTCTGAGAACAACGTGGAATTGAGACGAGGTAGAGCGACTAGGCGAAAAAGTGATAGTAGAGAAAAAACAACAATCAACAGTGGGGCATAGGCAAAATATGAATTGGGGCACCGTACAAAAGATGATGTGGTTGGTACAACGTGTAGCTGTGTAGGCACTTGGAGACGAGCATTGAATGAAGGGGGTCAGACCCCGTTAATCGGCAAGGTTTGAGAGATGCATCAGAGGGTCGGAGAACATGGAGATGAAAATGACACGTTGGGGGAGATACGGAACAGAGCGGGACACTCGTCGTTTCAGTCACGAGGAAGAATCGATAGGGGGTATTCATGGCGGGCGAAAAAAAAAAAGCAAGGATTAGTGATACGATGGATGGGATGGCTTCACGAGACAATTTAATTTGAGGGAGACAGACAGTGCGTGCATATCGAAAGCATAACACAGATTGTCAGATAGGAATATGATGTTCCTAAGACCTTATTGATTTTATTTGCATAGGTCAGCAACTCTTTCATAAGAGTAATAAGTTCTTTAACATGGATAACCCAAACAAGGTAAGAAAAATAAGATCCTCTTATGTGAAAAGACAATGTGCAAGGGCAGCACCATGATAATATTGTGGGTGGGTGAGAGTTCTTTTACTGTTGACGTGTAGCATCGTAAAACACCGAAAAATGATACTCGTGAAATATTTTATCTTCTTTTTGCGCAGGTTTTTCAACAACTGCATCAATTGGCGGATAGCAAGGTTGTTAAGTGTCGGGTGGGTCACCTTCTGTTCTCATAAAAAAACTTGCTCTGTTCTCCCAGGGAACGGATCCATGGTGAGTCCCTACCGCTGGTAAGTCATGTTATCCTTATTGAAATTTTTAATATTTCCTACCTTTTGCTAAGCCAATAAGATAGTTTTGATAATAGCCAATAAGATAGTTTTCATAATATTTGTGTTACTATATAATATTATAGTATCCTTATTGCAAGGGAGAAGGATTCCTTCCTGAAATTAAGGCCAATGGCAAACCCTAAAAGATATTTTTTAAATGATGTATCTAATACCTTACAAATTTTATATGCACACTTCAACAAATCCTTCACAAAACAAATAAGTTGTTCAACATGGATTAGCCTAAACAAATGCAAGGTAAAAGAAATGAGATCCTGTGATATGAAAGGATGGTTTGAAGGGCCAACTCCTCCTTACCAGCCCAATGTTCTCTCAACTTTCATGCGACGAACTTTGCAGAATGAAACTTGGAATTCAAAAAAATGTAATGAATTCAAAGACGGTTTCATTTTGAATGTTTGGTTGCAGAGACAAGGATTCCTTCCAGAAATTTGGGTCAATGACAAATCCCAAAAAGTGTTTTTTAAATGATGTTCCTAATACCTTACAAATTTTATGTGCATTCTTCAACAAATCTTTCACAAAACAGATAAGTTGTTCAACATGAATAACCCAAATAAATGCAAGATAAGAGAAATTAGATCCTGTGTTATGAAAGGATGGTATCAAGAGCCAACTCCTCCTAATCGGCCTAATGTTCTCCCAACTTTCATGCAACAAACTTTGCAGAATAGAACTTGGAATTCAAAGAAACATAATGAATTCAAAGACAGTTGCATTTTGAATGTTTGGTTGCAGACAATGGTGGTTAGAACGCCGAATGTTAGGATGAATGTTACATATATGGAGGATTGATATGTAGAAGGCTTGCTTCCTGTTGTGGAGCTCGTAGTTCCTTATGGTCTTGGGAGAGGGAATAAACAAGGAAAACTACTTTGGTGAATAGTTAGTTGGTTACAGCAAAATAACACTAGTTGAAACTTGACAACATGAACAGATCTAGACGTGCATGAAGGGTTTCTGCCTTCATAAGTTACGCAAGCGTTCCCAAGCAAAGTACCGAAGTGAAAACTACTTTGTAACCATCAGCACTCTTGAAGGGACCTTAAGTAACCTTAACACATGTTTTCATATTCTCGGGGGTCAAGGTAGTTACAACCCATTTGACACCATAAAAGTATGGTAGTACCACCGCGCATAAAAGAGTCAGGCCCATGAGCTGGTGGTGCATGAGGAACAAGCTCACCCAATAACTCAAAAGCAGATGACTCTTCTTTAAAAGGAAATACGTGAGAAAATAAAAAGGCCCGCCTCTTCGCGAAATTCGTGCTTGATGCTTGATGACCTAAGCGTGGGAGAGTTGGCAACGTGATGGAGAGGGGCATTAATTGCGACTAGGAGAGGTAGACCCTACAACTTGGATTGTGGAATCCGATGACATAAAAACTTGTCGGTAGGGTCATTTTGTGATAACAATCCTTGTGTCGGTTGAGATGAATGCGTACTACCTATCCTAAGGTTTTGGCCTCAACTCAGGTCCCTTGTTTCGAGGTAATATGACCAAGGAGGGGTGATCTTTGAGCTCCTTTAATCACTCCTTGAAGGCTTGGCATAAAGGGGTTTGCTAGCATGTATAACTTTCAAGTTGGTAGTGTCCATGATGGAATATGTCGTGGGTGGAGTCTTGAGCAGATGCTTACCCAAGGAACCTAAAAGAGTTTCTCATCCTTCATTCATTGTGGGTACGGATACCACGAACATGGTTCTAGGAGATAGGGATTCACGAGACTACTAAGTCGTAGGCTCTATGATAAAGGATTCCCGATGGGATCTTACTACTGAGGATGGAGGCGCAATCACGTTTATCAATCATAGCCTTCCTTATATACTTGAGGGATGTCACCAACCGGCACCAACTGGATTTTGTGAAGCTGGAGTAATGAGAACGTATTCTTCTTTATACTTCCTCATTCTCTTAAGACAAGTAGGAAGGAAAACTTAAAGATAAGTTTACAAGGCAGCTGCGACCAGTCAATGAAGAAAGCGTCGACATTGCAACATTTCAGGCAAATATGTTCGGAGATGACAAAGTCACAAACATGATGAGCATTCGATGCGAACAAATCGGTGGCCGGAACACCGAATTGTCTCTTCCGGATGTACGCTTGATGAGGACACAATTATGAATTCATGGTATCAATTGATTTTAACAGGTTGCCAACCTTAGTGTTCAATTCCCTAGGCATAGGCATCTAAACGGGCGTAATTTTACAATCCAATCTAAGAAATAACATAACTAAGTCTTAAAGTATGGTGTTTAGGGACCCCACTTGAGCACCCCAGTTCTTCGGGATTGATGTAGCTCCTGCATTGTCTCCAATAACCTTAATTGCTCCTTTTGGGGCTTGTTCCTTGTGCCTAGTTTTATAAGGTTGAGGGTTTGGAGAACACAGAATAGCTCCCGATGGGTGTTTGAGGAATCCAACAACCGATCCGAAAGAAGGAAGTTAATCTTTAGTTGTTACCTTTGATAGAGATAAAGACCTCAGTTGCATTTTTTGATGCATCGGTCTGGATTGGAACTGAGATCTCTCTCAAAGGTCAATTGGTGCCCCTTAAGTTTGAGATATTTGACGACCACCAAGTTAGGTCTTTCATAATATAGGGTGTTAATCTTATCTTCCTTTTCCACTAATCCATGTAAAACGACTTATGGAGGTGAGAATAAAATGTAGTTGCATATTGAAAAACCCTAGTTCTGGCCGCAAGTTTATTCGTAACTGATGATAGTTCGTTGCTTGAAGTTACCTTTTGGTTTGCGTGATTGCTAAAAATCAACTTATTCCTTTAATTTTTAAATGGAATTGAAATTCTCTTGAGATGTGAGTCCATTGTGAAGCCCGGGAACTTCATCTGCTGAGATAAACTGGAACAACGTTTGTGAAGGCAGAGGAAGAACCTCGACTTATGCATGAGGCAAGTAAAGAGGAAAAAATCTCACAATTCTTATTAGGAATGACTCGAAACGAGCAAATAATTATCAATATAAGAAAAAGAAATCATGTGCAAGGAACATGAATATGGACGAAGCACAGAAATCCAGAATGCAAAATCACACTGAAGTCCAAGTAGTCAAAGCCAAAGCAGATAGCACATGGAACCGAGCAACCATCCAATTGAGAATGATACAGAAGAATCGTGAGTCAATGTCCATGCCCAACAGGGCAACACCAACAGCATAACCCAAATGTAGCTCTCTCTTGTGAATGGCGTCAGGCGCCCTATCTACTCTACAACTATCCTACAACTACAGCAATGAAAAGCAACCAGACAACTTGACTACCAGCGAGTGATGATGTCAACACCAATGCCGACCTCCACCATCACCAGGTACGTGTCCTCTTCCCCACACTCTCCCTTGTTACCCACACAACGCCCTTCACCTCTGAAGTACCACCTTCGCCCTCACCTCCCCTGCACCCTCATGCGGCCCGGCTATGGCCGCCAGTGCCCTGCGTGCAGGCAACGCCCTACCGCCTAGCGCTGGCCTACTTGCTCTTAGTGCAGCACTGCCTTGCACAGCGCAACACACATGCATCCRCGCAGMGTGCCCGCAAGTGCCAACATTGGACAAGATCCCTGCTGCCTCGCCCTGCTTGCCTATATGCCAGTGCAACGTGTGGGCGGCCTCCCTTCAGCCTGTGACCGGGGCCCAGAGGCTGAAGCCAACTCGATACAGTTGGGCCCCGGGGCAATGCAGTTGCGCCTCCTTCATCAAGGCCTGTGGCCAGATTCAGACAGTGGGCCGATTTCCCTTTGGCATTTTCAGCCTCTCTACCCAGCATGCATTGTCGGCCTCACGTTTGAGTGCCCAGGGGCCAGGGCCTAACTAACTCAGAGGCCCTGGGCATTTCAGCATTTGCTGAAATCCGAGACTCGGTACACTCCAACCAGCTGGCGTGCTGCAACTGTATAGACCCCACTTCGTGAAATGTTGGCATAAAGGGCTCTTGTTGATTTGCAGGCCCGCCTTCACTTAGGGCGGGCACTAGGCTTGCTGGGGCCTTAGCCCAGAACATGTACATCATGGCAAGGCCCCTACTTGAGGGCTCAATCCTCACATTCCATCCCCCTTAGCTTCGAAAGTCCGCTGAGATGCTTACTTCGCAGGTGTCTTCCCTTTTAGCTTCCGTTCATAATCTGCCACCACCTGAGGAGCTGTTTCCATGAGTTCCTCCCGGGTAAACCACCGATCTTCTTTCGGATCCGTCTGATGCCTGAATCTGATCCGGTACTCCCTCTTGGGTCTAGGAGGTCTTCCTCCACCCAGCGGCTTCGGAACAGGCATATCCTTGTGATCCACAATATCGTCGATGTCGACTTGTCCATCCATGGTTGGGGGCAGCATCGATCTCCTGGAAGGGAATTGATCAGTCTCAGCGAAAGGTGCAAGCTTTAAGGCATGAAAGACTGGGTGAGTGCGTAAGTGTCCAGGTACACGAATGACATATGTGGGACCATCTAACTCATCTCCCACTACATCCAAGACTTCCCAGGGACCAAAGTACTGAGGCATTAGTTTGCGAGATATTCCGAATTCCTGTCCTAACTCACTAGGCTTGACCCAGATACGTTCCCCTACCTGAAATGTGGACTGTCTGCGATGTTGATTCTCAGAAGCTATCATGTCTTGCTGAGCCTTCTTCATATGTTCAACAGCCTCTTGCAGCAACTTCTCATATTGCACACCGTATTCAAGTGTGCCTGGAGTTGCAGAAGGTCGGTTCTCAGGTAGGAGGAAGTCTAGTGCTGATCTAGGCTTCCATCCTAAGTGCAGCTGGTTAGGACTGACGCCGTACTACTATGTATAGCATTGTTGTACAGGCTGGCGATGAGAGGTAGCTGCTCATCCCAGTCATCCTGGTTGGGCTTGATGTAGTGCCTCAGCAAGTGTTGTACAACTCTATTCATTTGTTCGGCCTGTCCGTTGGCTTCGGGATGATTCCCTGAAGTCATCTGAAGTTGACTGCCCATCTGTTCCGCAGTCTTCTTTTACAACTCACTTGTGAATCGGACGTCTCGGTCACTAATGATGGTCTTTGGTAATCCAAAGTCCCTTACTCAGTTGTCCTTGGACAACTTGATGACGTATCCTGGCTATTTCTGACATTGGTACTAGTCTGGCGTACTTGGTGAATCTGTCAATGATGACGAAAATGTGCCTCTTACCACTCTTGCTGGTCACAAGAGTGTCCATGAAATCCATGGAAACACTCAATCATGGACCATCAGGAATAGGTAACGGCTTCAACAACCCAAGCGGTGCTTGAGTTCGCGGCTTGTCCCGCTGACAGACCTGACAAGTCTCAACATACTTTTTTGCGTCATCTAACATTCTGGGCCACCAAAATCGYTGTACTAAGTTWGCACTCGTCTTCTTGTAGCCAAAGTGCCCAGTTGCGTCATGACATTCTCCTAAAAATAAACTACGCAACTGTTCACTAGATGGAACTACCAATCTCTTTACTCCGGCCTTATCAAGATAGATTAGCTCATCCACCATCACAAACTCACTTTCTGTGGCCTTGTCTTTCGCCTAAAGTTTGCGGATGATGTCCATCATGACAGGGTCTTCCTGATAGGCTCCCACCAATGATTGAGTTACTTCATTAGATACGCCAAATTCAGAAACTAGCGCACCAAGGTAGTCCGCTCTATGGGATAGTGCATCTGCAACCTTATTGTACTCTCCCTTCAGATACTCAAGCTTGAAGTCATATTGGTCTATGACCTCAATCCATCGCTTGAGTGCATCGGAAAGAGCCGATTGAGTCTTGATCCATTTGAGGGTCTGATGATCAGTCCTCAAGTAGAAGAACCTTCCCAGTAGGAAGTGTCTCCAATGGACAAGAGCTTTGTATAGAGAATAGAGTTCCCTCTCATAGGTGGACTTCGCCAGTTTCTTCGATGGCATTTTCTTGCTCATGTACTCAATCGGGCTTTACTTCTTCACATCCTGCTGAGCTAGCACTGCGCCAATGCCGTATTGGCTTGCGTCAGTGGTCACTATGCATGACTTCTGTGGATCGGGAACCATGAGAACTTCATGATTCATGGGTGCATGCTTCAATCTCTTGAAAACACCCTCGCACTCATCACTCCAGTCCCACGGTGTGTCAAGTCGAGTTAGATCAGTCAAAGGAGAGATGACTGTAGAATAGTTTTTTACGAAGTTCCTATAGTAGCCGCACATTCCTAAGAATGATCTGACCTCAGTGACTGTCTGAGGTCGTGGCCAGTCTCGAATTCTAGCCACCTTTGCATCTTATGGCCTGATTCCCTCTGCGGATACTTCATGACCCAAGTATAGAATCTTTGTGCGACCGAACTCACACTTCTCTAAGTTGACCTTATACGTGTGTTGTCGTAGGAGTGAGAGAACTGTCTCAACATGCTGTGAGTGCTCCTCGACAGACTTACTAAAGATCAGAATGTCGTCTAGATAGACTACGACAAACTTATCTAAATGGTCATGGAAGATCCGATTCATAGCGTGCTTGAATGTACCTGGCGCATTACAAAGACCGAAAGGCATCACTACAAACTCATACAGACTGGGTGAGGCTGTCTTGTGTTGGTCCTCATATATAGTACTTGCATCCCTGCACCCTATCCAAAAGGTCATCTATGCGAGGTAGAGGCTCTGCGTTTTTCACTGTGATGGCATTGAGGTCCCTATAATCAATGCACATCCTCAAAATACCCCCCTTCTTCGGTACGAATAGTACAGGTGATCCGTAGGGGGAAGTACTAGGCCGAATCCATCCCTTCTCTGTCAGCTCCTTGAGTTGCTTCCAAAGTTCATCTAACTCGGCAGGAGCCATCCTATAGATCCTTCCTTTTGGGGACTTACTCCCTGGAATGATTTCTATAGCGTGGACGACCTCCCTATCAACAACTCCTGAGGGCTCCTCGAACAGATCAGGGAACTTAGCAACGACGCGTTCTATCTCTGGGGGTGTTTTAACGGTCTCCCCCTTCTCAGAGACATAAACAAGGTACATACCCTCCTCTTGGTTTTGCTTGTAGTAATTGTAGAACATTGATGCACACAAGCAGTCATAGGTATCTACAATACTGCTGGCCTCGAACTTAGTTAATCTGACAGTTCGACCATCGGGCAACTTATGCTTGAGCACCTTTTTATCCCAGTCGAACTGGGGCTTAGCAACTTCGAGGTAGTACATGCCTAGCAACGTTTCGAATGACAAGTCGTCGCTAACCAAGAACGAGATCTTATGGTTAAGCTCTCCTCCTCCATAGGAGAAGGTACAGACTACGTCCTTGATGTAGTCTGTGACAATCATGCGCTCTTTGTTGGCCAAAGTAGATGCTACTGGTCTACTAAGGTGCCGTACCCGGTCTTGTAGGTGCAACCTTTCCAAACAATCGCGACTTATGTAATTTCGCATGGATCCGTTCTATGAAGGCTCCACATTTGTGGCCTGCTACATCCACTTCCACCACGAAATGTTCCCCTCTAGGACCCTTCTTTAGCGCCACCCAAGACTCGCGAGGGTCCTTGTTTGACCACTCGCCTTCTAAGTCTTCTAAGGCCTCAGACACATCTAACGTACAGAGCATAGTTTGGTCTAGATGCGTCTGCGGGGTGACTAAGGAGTCATTAACTTCGGCCTTGTCATGAAGTGAGGAGGGTATCATGCCCACTTCATCTTGAGTAGAAGCCGCTACTACTTCCACTGGCCCTACGCGTTTCCCGAGCTAGAAGCCTGGGAATAAGATGCCCCCATCCTTGAAGCAATCTTTTGCGTAACCTTAGCGTTCTGACACTTCCACTGCGTGTGTCCGTACTCCCCGCAGTTGATACAAGCGCCACGCGATCGGCGGTCACGCCACACGTCTTGATCAAGACCTGTCTTCACCCACTCGGCCTGTTTGGTCTGATTGGAGGCGGCCTTCCCTTGACTCCTAGATTGGCCCTTCCCTCGGCCACCTGCCGTAGTCTTTACAACCGCGGCGAGGGTGCTACCCTCAACTACCTCCTCGCCGGCATACTCTGAGTAGTCCACCAGGTCACAGAGTTCGTCGATCTCTGTTTGAGTCCCATCGGACTCAACCATCATCTACTTTGCCCCCTTCTTTTTCCACTCTTGGGGACTCTTCTTCTTCTTTGAATCGTTYCCTGAGGTGGGTTGAGCATTGCCTAAGGTGGCCTCTAAGTCTAAGGCTTTCCTAGACAATGTCTCAAACGTGTGGTACTCGGTGCATGCCTCACTGGCCAGCAAGTTCCTGATGTTCTCTGGAAGACATCTAACGAAAGTTGTTAACAGGAACTGGTCACTGTAGTTGATGCCCGGGACGAGGATCAGGCCCTCAACGGTAGTCGTAAGCTCTCTGACTGACCGGAACTTGCGTTGGTCAAGTTTGTTTATGGCATCAGTAGCCCTTTGCGCCTCTTGTGGGTTATGCCATCGAGCTTCTACCATTTCCATGAACTGGTCTAGAGTCAAAGACTTGGCCCAGTCCGCCATGCGTCGCCCGTACCCGGCTTTCACAACCACCCCATCTAGCCATTTGGCTGCTTTACCCTCTAGGTAAGATGCCGCAGTTACCACCTCATCCTCTGGCAAGGTCCTTTTGGCCTTCACCCAAACCGGGACCGTCCTCAACCATGTGTTGAGTTCCTCGTCCTTTCTCTCGCCTGAGAAGGCAAGAGGCGGTTTCATTGGGGTCTTGGGGTACCATTGACCTTGCGACTGTCCAGGTTGGTGAACAGGTTGTTGTGGTGATGCAGCAATCACCACTGGACCCGAAGAAGAAGATGCAACAGTCTGTGCGACTGCTGCAGATGTACCACTTGGTTGTGAACCAGCTTGAACTGGAAAGGGGCCTGACATCGCCGTTAACGGCAACGGCGATTGTGCTGGTGGCCGGAATCCTGGATTTGTCAATGCATCCAGGATCTGGTCCAAAGTGCTTTGCATGAAGTCCATCCTGTTGTCTACGTGCGCATGAAGTGACAACATGTTGTCCCTCAACACTTTCAGGGCGTCAGACAAACTCGATTCGTCCAATCCCTCTAACGCAGCCTTGTCAGCCTCTAACGTATCAAGTCTGGTCGCTCTACTTTTTATCTCTTTTTCTCTATCGGTTGCTTTCTTCATATCCTCCTCTAACTGCTGGCGGAGCCTCTCGACTTGTTGGATCTCTCTGAGCTCCCGCTCACGTGCGGTCATGGGGTTGAACTGCGAGCCTGCCATTTGTCTAGAAGACTGTCTGGAACCTGTTGAACCGGAAGTGCCCGAGGAACTTGTGGAACTCAGTGGCATTCCCAAATGAGTCCCACTAGTCCCTGACGAGGACGCAGACGATGACGCAGCAGAGCTTGCGCCGTTAGCCATTGATGCTGCTCTGGCTGCTGTTGCCTGCTCGCTATCCCCGCTGCTAGAGCACGAGCTCTACGTTTGGCACGAAACCGCCTTTCTTCTCCCTCGTCTAGGGTCCTGAACACGTGCGGAACCCTTAATGCTTCCGAACGTGTAAGTCTCCTATTGTCAGCTCTATCATCACCAGGATCTGACCCACTCATTACTTAGGCAGATAGTGTCTACACTAGAATCCCCTAGTGGAATCTTACCGCAACATGTATCTGACGGGTGCAAAATTTTCTATATATAGTTGTGTCAGGCGAGTCCCCTACTATACCGAATCAAGTGGCATGTCTACAACATTCACACAGATATTCTACATAGTCTAGATGCACCCTGATTGGTTCACTTACAACAGCATTAATTAGAACTGGCTATTGTAGCATACAACAGTCCTACACTAATCTGTCTGTGAGGTTGGCAGTCTGTCAACCAACTAATCAAAGGTACAAAAAGACAATGTAGCAGATGTATGATTGATGGGTATTGTTGTGTATACAGTTGAGCACCAATTGAAACCTAGATGTGTATAAGAGACAGGCCTTGCACAGCGCAACACACATGCATCCACGCAGAGTGCCCGCAAGTGCCAACATTGGACAAGATCCCTGCTGCCTCGCCCTGCTTGCCTATATGCCAGTGCAACGTGTGGGCGGCCTCCCTTCAGCCTGTGACCGGGGCCCAGAGGCTGAAGCCAACTCGATACAGTTGGGCCCCGGGGCAATGCAGTTGCGCCTCCT